AAGAGTATTTCGGTTTAAAAGAACAATTAAGTGCAAACACACTAAGGCAATAATGAGCAGAGCATGTTGCAAGGGTAAAAAGTCTGTGTGTTTGGAGCTAGAAGACTGGAATGATGTATAGTAGGAGGAGGAGCAGATGAGATATGGGGGTGGTATTGGGAGGTTTAAAGCAGAAGAATACCAGTATCTACTTTGTGGGGATATAGTCAGGAAGACTGGCAAACCAACTCATTTATTATTAATATTTTTTCAGTCTAGGCATACTTTGGATCAGCACTGATTTAAACTTTCATGCTTGTCCTTAGATTAACGGTGTCTAATGTCTTTATAGACCATAAACCCTTTGCCCTGATTATAATTTTAGTTTTATCGCTTTGATATCGAATAGCCTGTGCACCCCCACCCCTTTTCTAAATTTAAATTTTTATTTATGTATTTATTTTTAGAGATTTTTGCTATAGGATGCGTGCATTCACCGGAGCGACAGAAAGCAAGAAGTCATCCCCTGCAGGGGTTGGCCAGACCGCAATCCCTTCTCCTCCATTCTCCTCTCAGAATATTGGGTACGCATGAACATGCACCTGGCGTGATTTTGATGTCGCTGGGTCTGGGACTTGAACTACAGTCAACTTTGTGGGAGTCCAGCAACTTAACCATTACACGATCTGCTGCTGGTCTCCCTCTACTCCCTTTTTAAACCCATTTGTTTTAAATTTAAGTAATTTGTGAATACATAAATGACTAAAAAAAAGTCTTGACACATTTTTTCCAGTATTTTGTTTAAGTGAAATTTTTCTTTCTTTCTTTCTTTTTTTTTTTTGAGAGGTTTTTGCTATGGGACATGTGCACTCACCAGAGAGGCAGAAAGCAAGAAATCACCCCCAGGGGGGGTGACCATGCTGCAATCCCTTCTCCTCCATTCTCCTTTCAGGATCTTGGGTACACATGCACATGCACCTGTTTTGAATTTAAGGCACTGAGTCCGGGTCTCGAACCACTGTCGACTATATGGGAGTCCATGGACATAGCCATTATGCCAACTGCTTGTCCCAAGGGAAAATATTTTTTAAAGAAACTTGTGAACAGGGACTCATGAAGATTTTAACATGGGTTGAGAAAGAAATGCATTATCAATATCACTTTTCTAAGAATAATCTGATTGTGTTACTGCTTTTCTTCTGTATAGCGTTTCATACAAAAATACAGATTTGCTTGTTTTTATTATCGAAAAAAATATACTACTAGGTAGGTGCTAGTTGAATGAATAAACAGGCTTATATATTGAGATTACCCCAAGATAGAATTTTAGTTTTCATAACCCTAAATAATGCTTTTAAATTAACTTGGCCCTCTTTGCACAGATTAGAAAAACAACAGTTTTCTTTTCTGTATTTTAGGGGTTTTTGAAGTGAATTGCTACATGAGCATTTTACATAGTTGCTGTAACAGTTAATGTTTTTAAGTATTTATAAATCACTGTTGATAATCACTTTTAGTGCATTATACCATCTTGGATTCTTTCATCTGAGTCTCTTTGGAGCTGATTGACTACTCACAAGTCTAGTATTACTCTTGGTGACCCCATTAAATGCTTTCCCTGAAAGTATTTGCTGTGTTGGATTTTTTTTAGATTTTTCTTAGAGGTTATAATTTGAAATTATTACCTGAGACGTTGAAAGGTCTTAAATTCCTAGACAGAGTTAGAGCTTTAATTAGAAGTTTAATGACTAGAATATCATTCTTCAACTCTGTTCATTGTTCATTAGCACAGGTATCAAAAGTGAAATGATCATTTTCTTATTATACTGAGGAATTTTTATTATAACATGTCATCAAATTGTAGATGAAATTTTTAGAAGTAATGGGGTGTTAATGATTAGGTACATTTGAGTGACCACCTCAGTGTTATCTGCTAGTATTTAATTATGTTCTTTATTTTATACTAGTTTTGCTTACATTAATAATTTGATGGGGGGCCGGCAGGTGGCATGGTGGTTAAAGGCGCTGGACTCCCACATGGCCAACTACAGTTTAACTCCTGGACCTGGCAGCTGGCTTTCTCTCTCTCTCTCTCTCTCTCTCTCTCTCTCTTTTTCTCTCCCCCTCCCTCACTTCCCTCCCCTAATTTATTTATTAAAATAAGTTAAATAAAGTTAAATAAAGTAATTATAAAAAAAATAGTATGATGGGATCTTAGAAACTTACTTTTATTCCCTTAGATGATAACCTAAATTTATTTCTCTGGGGCTAAAGACTCTTCAAATGTTACTTTCTTCAGTGTTTTGTTCCTTATGTTTTCCTTTAATAGAGAAAAAAATTTCCTTTTTTTAATAGAGATAAAGATTAGTTAATTTTGTGACCCCTTTGAGAACAACAGGAGCAAAACCTTCTCTCTTTAGTAAACTGATCTTTGACTAAGCGTTTACTAAACCATTCCTTAGTCTCCTCATTCTTTCCATCTAAGTTCATGATGGTGTAGCAGGAGGGAATGGGTTAGGTTCCTTATGAGCTCCCTTGTCTTGTTGCCTTTGTTTGTGTGGAAAGGTGCAACAGCTGCTGTGGCTTACGCATTTGTCTTAGCTGCTGCTTTATATAGTCCATATTTTGATAGTGGTTTTATCTTTCTGAATAATAACTGATCAAGTCATCTGCTATGTAACTATAAGTTTTATGTTTTTTATTTTCCTTTTGGATGTATATTTAATTTAGATGGTTTAGTTTAGTTTTATTTCTGTTAATCTTCACACCAGGTCTTTTCTGTGCTTTAGGTTGACTCTTCACCACACTGAAACCATTAGGAAAAATCCTTGTGGTTAACAGCAGAGGCTTCAGAGTGTAACCTGTACTCGGGCCTAGAAATTATTTTAAATGGCGACTGATACGTCTCAAGGTGAACTCGTCCATCCTAAGGCACTCCCACTTATAGTAGGAGCTCAGCTGATCCACGCGGACAAGTTAGGTGAGGTAGGGGCTGATGCATTCTTGAAGCTCACTCTTGGATCAACCCCTGACTTCAGGCCCTGCTGGGTCCTTCTTGGTATATGTTTCTTCCCTTACTTTGGGGAATCTAGGTTGTAAATCTGAAAAAATCAAATAGATACGAAGTTCTTTTCATCTTCCTTTTCCCCTCAAATTCCTGAGAAAGTTTCCAGTCTTCTAAATTTATATTAAATCAAGTGTAATTAATTGCTTTCGTTTGGAACTCTAGCTAAAATATTTTGAAAAGTTTTTCGTAAAAATTGTATTTTACTTATAAAAAAATGTTAAAAGTAATTTGCATCAGATCCTGGAGTTGACTTGAAGAATTCTCCTACATCTTCTGATACCTAGTTAGGCACCCTGAGAAAGAGGGAAAAGAGAATTTTTTTATGCATATTTGATTATAGCCATCTCTTTTCTTAGAAGGTGGAAGAGAGCACCATGCCGATTCGTCGAGCTGTGAATTCTACCCGGGAAACTCCTCCTAAAAGCAAGCTTGCTGAAGGGGAGGAAGAAAAGCCAGGTAAAGTAAAGTGGTACAATTTAAAAGAGCCAAAAAAAGTTTTTAGTTTCAGTTTTTGCTGTTCTGTATTTCTCTTTAAACGCAGTTTTTTTTTCATGGCTGAGTGTTGTGGAAACCATCCAAAGAGAAGCAAATAGCTGTTGGTATGTTATTGCCAGACCATGTGAGCAAAGTACAATTTTGTGGGGTTTTTTTGAGAGATTTTTACTATAGGGTGCATGCACTCATTAGAGAGACAGAAAATAAGAAATCACCCCCCAGGAGGGATGGCCGCACTGAAGTCCCTTCTACTCCATTCTCCTCTTGTGATTTTGGGCACACATGAGTACGTGCCCAGTGTGAGTTTTAAGCCACGAGGTCCAGGATTTGATCCACGTGGGAGTCAACCAACATAACCATTACACCATCTGCTGGTCCTAATTTTGTGTTTTCTTTAAAGATTTTTGGACAGTAAAAATATCATATTATTGGAATGAAACAAAACAAAAAATGGTTAGGGAAGAGAGGAATGATCAAAGAGTAACATTCTGGATATACAGTGTAATTGAGATGAAGGCTCAATGAAGAATGGAGGACTTGGGCCTGTAGGATGAACTGTGGAAAGTTCACCGAGAAATCATCAGAGGGCTTAAAAGGGAAGCCCTCGGTTGTTAAAATATGGTCTGTAACTGGTATTGGTGGAATAAAGACTGGCCAGTCTAAAGTGTAAGCATAAAGAATATAGAGAAATGTATCGCTTCTCAGCCTTTTGGCGAAGATCAAGTGAAGAATATAGAGAAATGTAGACCCACCAACCTAAAGAAGTGGCTAAGCACTTCTTTTTGCTGCCTGTCATTTTCTTCCCCTGACCTTTTCTTTCTTTCCCTTTCCTTTTTTCCTTTCTCCCTTTTATCTCTGGCTTAGTAGGGCTGAGCACACTGTTCTCCCTGTCATGACCATTAATACCAAATATTTGTTGATTAGCATAGATCAGGAGTAGAAGGAACTTACCTTTGTTAGTTTCTTTCCCTTGGTGTACCATGGCAGAAATCTTCACCAAGCTGATAAGCCATTTTCCAGGTGAGCCTGAATTTTGTTTCAAAATCCTTAAATGAGTGCTATATGCAATTTGGGCCCCCTGGCCTCAGACAGTCAGGGAACATGGGAATATTTTAATTAATTAATTTACTTTTTAGAAGTTTACATGAGATGGGACCAGCAGTTGGCGTAATGGCTGTGTTGCTGGATTCCCATGCAGTTGACCACGGTTTGAGTCCCGCATCTGGTGGCTTAAACTCATGCTGGGCGTGTGTGCATGTGTGCCCAAGATCCCGAGAGGAGAATGGAGGAGAAAGGATTGCAGCATGGCCACCCCACTTAGGGGTGATTTCTCACTTACCTTCTCTCTGGGGGGATTGCTCTCTCACCTCCTCTCTCTCTCTCTCTCTCTCTCTCTCTCTCTGTCTTTCTGGTGAGTGCACGTGCCCTACAGCAAAAACCTCTCTCAGAAAAAAAAAAAAAAGTAGTCGTTTACATGAGGGTGCATATGCTTGCTGAATTGAGAGACAGACAGTGAAAGAGAAAGTGAGAAATCACCCCCCAGGGGAGAAGGCCATGCCTCAGTCCGTTCTCTTCTGTTTGCCTCCTGGGATCTGGGCATGTACATCCATTACCCAGTGTAAGTTTGAAAGCCACCGGTTCTAGGACTAGAACTGCGGTTGGCCACATGAGCATCTAGTGACGGAACTACTATGCCGTCTACTGGCCCCCACGTGGAAATATTTTCAAAAAATAGATACACTGGTCAGCTGAAGATTGATAATATTGTCCAACACTTGAATAAGTCACATGGCGATCCATCTTTTTTTTTTTTTTTTTTTTTAGGTTTTTGCTATAGGGCGTGTGCGCTCGCCAGTCAGACAGAGAGAGACATAGAGACAGAAAGCGAGAAATCACCCCCCCAGGGGGGGATGGTCACGCCACAATCCCTTCTCCTCCATTCTCCTCTCGGGATCTTGGGCATGCACGCACACACGCCTGGCGTGAGTTTTAAGCCACCAGGTCCGGGACGCAAACCACGGTCGACTACATGGGAGTCCAGCGACATAGCCATTGCGCTAACTGTTGGTTCCCGATCTTTTTGTTTTTTTTAAGAATTATTTATTTTATTTTCTAATTTACTATTGGGCACATGCACTCATGAGAGGGAGAAAGAAAGAGAAGAAGAGAGAAAAAGAGAAAACAAATTGCTAGATCTGGGACTTGAGCCATGTTCAGCCTTATGGGAGTCCAGTGTATTCACCACCACGTCACCTGCTGGCTCTGGTGATCTATCTCCCTTTTTTTTTTTTTTTAAGCTCATTGTTATTATTTTATTTAATTTTATTTTTTGAAGTTGAGAGAGAGATAGAGAAAAGGAAAGTAAGAAAGCAAGCTGCCAGGTCCAGTACTCGAACCACGGTGAACCATGTGGGAGTCCAGCCATCTTAACCACCATGCCATCTGCCGACCCCCCATCTTCTTTGTTTTAAGAGTTTTTGTTTTCGAAGGAGAAATTTTTCTATAGGGTGCCTGTGTTTGGCAGAGAGACATAGAGATAGAAAGCAAGAAATCACCCTCTCCCCCTCCCCCAAAATGGCCACACCACAATCCCTTCTCTTCCACTCTTCTCTCGGGATTTTGGGCACACGTGCCAGGTGTGAGTTTCAAGCTGCCAGGTTTGGGACTCAAACCTCAGTTGACCATGTGGGAGTTTAGCAACATAACCATTACGCCATTGCTGTTCCGCTGGTAATCCATCTTAATGCCATCATCTGTGTGTTTAACAACCAGCTAAACCACTAATAGCATAAATTCTCAGAAAACGTGTCCAATGGGTTCATATACAAGGTTTCATTGTATTTTGATTCTTGAAAAATCAAGAATTTATAAAAGAGCAGTGTTATTTCACAAGTTGTATATTTGTTCAATCTTCTTTCTATTCTGTTATAGTATTTTGTAGATGGAAATAGATGTCACTCATTTGCTCTAAATCCTACATTTTACAGAGGCAGTAGCTTGGAAATGTCTTACCATATTACACTCAATATCTGTGGAGTGACTAAAACTTTATTAAGCCATAATTCTTAAACAGTTGTTCTGGATAGGAAAAAATAATGTGGAATTAAAATTATGGCTATATTATTACAGTAAAGCACAGTAAGTGGTTTTAGTGTTTTCGTCTTAAGAATAAGTCAATGCGTAAATAAACATATGATTAACAATAGTAAACTGTGACCCATGCAGCCCATCAGGTCAAATTGTTGGAGTGAGTGGATATAGTGATGAAAATATATCTTACTGCAGATCTCTAGATACTAACAGATTTCTAGATATTGACATAATGAGGTTGTAACCATAATACTTTGAGATACTATGTATATGGGAAACAGGCTTCCCTTAAACATTTTATATAATCCTTAAAGTGATTTTGGGAAATAATGATACTGAAAATTAGAGATTTCAAAGAAGTTGCCCTGAGATCATCAGATTGCCAAGTTATGAAGACTAAACTTGAATCCAAGTGTGTCTGACTCTAAAACTTTGGTTTTGGCTAAATAGGTGTGGGGAGAGTTTGGACTAGTCTAGCCAATTCAAGTTTAGTTAACAGTGCACAATCTAGGACAGCATTTGCAAATGATGGTTGACTGTCCTGAAATACACAGTTCAGAATTTTTTTTTTTAAGAGGTTTTTGCTCTAGGACACATTTGTTCAGTGGAGAGAGACAAAGACAAGAGAGAGTGAGAGGGAAAGTGAGGAATCACTCCCAATGAGGGATGGTCACACCATAGACCCTTATCCTCCATTCTTCTGGGATCTTGGGCTCATACATGCACACCTCCTGTGTGTTTCAGACTACTGAGTCCAAGACTTGAATCACAATTGGCTCTTTGGGAGTCCAGCAACATAACCGCTACACCATCTGCTGGCCCCCAGATTTTTTAAAAAAGAATGATTTATTTAGGGATAATTTCTCACTGTCCATCTTATTGTCTCTGTCTCTGTTTCTTTCTCTCCAGTAAGCACATGCACCCTAAGGCAAAAACCTCTCCAAAAAAAGTTTCTTAATTAAAAAAAATTTTTTACAAAGAATTATTTGTTTAATTTTATTTACTATTATTATTATTTCTTAAGAATTAACTTATTTTATTTTATTTTTTCATTCATTTATTTTAATTTGACCAGAGAGGGAAAGTGAGAAAACCAGCCACCAGGTCCAGGACTCAAATCATGGTCAACCATGTGGGAATATCCAGCACCTTAACCACCATGCCACCTGGTGGTCCCTAACTATTATTATTTTTTAATTTGACTAAAGAGACAGAAAATGAGAAAGCAAGCCACTAGATCTTGGACTTAAACCATAGTCTGCCATGTGGGAGTCCAGCACCTTATCTACTACACCACCTGCCAGCCCTCACAATTTAGAATTTAATTAATTAAGAAACTAGAAATTCCTTTAGAATTGTATTTATTGGGTCAGAAGGTAGTATGAGGTTAAGGCAACTAGATCCTGTGTGGCCAATTGCAATTTGAGTCCCATACGTGGTAACTTGAAAATCATGCTGGACACATGTGAGTAATGGCCAAAATCCCGAGAGGAGCGTGGAGGAGAAAGGATTGTGGCATGGCCATCCCCCTGGCGGGTCAATTTCTTACTTTCTCTCGCTCTCTCTGTCTGTCTGTCTCTGGCAAGTGCACATAACCTGTAGCAAAAACAAGAAAAAAAAAAAGTATGTAATTTGGTTATAAGAAAAATAATGGCATTTAAAAATTCTTGTTACTTATATAAAGGCTACAGAGAAATCATTATTATTCTAGCAATTAGTTGTCATGAGTAAAGTAATCAAACTGTTCGAGCACATACTTTGTTCATGACTTCTTTTGCCATTAAAGTCTTTTCTTTGAAACCTCTGTGTAACCAGTGCTTGGAGTTCTGTGTTTTGTAGTAGCTGCTCAGAGACATGCTGTGAAGAAAAGGCAAAGACAACTGCAGAGCTTGCTGTTCCCCTCATGGCTGCTTCTGTCCCAGTCACTCCACTTGGGAAATACATGCTATTTTTTTATTGCTTATTCTCTAAGATTTATCTGTTAAATTAGAAAATGGCCAGTTTTTAAATTATGAGTATTATTAATATTCCAGAGTAGAATAATCAATAGAATAATAAGCATTTGGGGGTAAAATGAATTTCTCTTCATATGATTTGTAGGCTCATCTCCTTTTGTGACAGTGGTTTGGATGAACAGCCATTTGAATAGACAACTTGAGTGTGACATAACTAATGAAAGAAAACTACACTCATTAGTCATGTGTTCATTTTAGAATTCACCTGTTAATTGGAGCATTTGGCTGATCTGTTTCATAAGATAATTTTTTACTGTTTTATGCAATTCTGTCACCTTATTTTTTAGAACCAGACATAAGTTCTGAGGAATCTGTCTCCACTGTAGAAGAACAAGAGAATGAAACTCCACCTGCTACATCTAGTGAGACAGAGCAGCCAAAGGGGGAACCTGAGAATGAAGAGAAGGAAGAAAACAAGTTGTCTGAGGAAACTAAAAAGGAGTAAGGACTTACTGCCTTCTTGCTATTAATAATCAAAGACTATATAAAAAGACCATAAGAAAGATTGTTCTCGAGTTTTATAACATTGATCTGTGCTAGGTATTTGCAATTTGGATTTACTTTTTAGAATTCCCATTTGAAGTAGGTTTATTAGGATTTGTAGTAATTAGTAGAACAATGATTTGAATAATCCGGAAGTCTTTCCTGTTGCCTTTGGAATGTTTTGTGCTTAGAATTCATTGTAGGAGGGGCTGGCAGGTGGTGTGGTGGTTAAAGGCACTGGATTCCCACATGGCTGACCATGATTTGAGTCTTGGACCCGGCAACTTGCTTTCTCACTTTCCCTTTCTCTCTTTCTCTCTGTTTCTGTCTCTGGTCAAATTAAATAACAACAACAACAACAACATGGAAATAAATAATAATTTTTTTTAAAAAAATAATTCATTGTGGGAATGTCCAATATTTTAAAAAACATTGAGGTAATTTCACTAAGAAATTAAACATGGGCCAGCGTCATTGCCTAGTGGTTGAAAGAACTGTTCCTGGCAGCTTGAAAAACACCCTGGGTATGTGTGTATGCATGCCTAAAATCCTGACAGGATGGAAGAATGGAGAAGAAATTGTGTCGTGACCATACTCCATTTTAGGGTGCTTTCTCTTTCCCCCCATCTTTCTCTGTGAGGGCATACACCTCTTGGCCATGTATTTCTAAAAAATGTAACATAACCATAAAAATCTGATACAGAAGACACTTAACCGTTTTATTTCTACATTTGTGCTAGGTGTAAATTATTTTATGTGCTTTTGTTAACAAACATTAATCTTTATCAAGCCATTGCTACAGTGACCTAAAATGCTATATATATTTGATAAGGTATTTGATTGGAAGTAACTGAGAATTTGGAAGCAAAATCGGTTATTGATAATGTATATCTTTATAAGATGGTTGCAGTTCTTCATGAATTAAAAGTTTTTTTGTTTTTTTTTTTTTTTAACAGAGCTGGTAGCTTTTATTATTGGTCATTATTGGTCAGCACAGTTAGAAATTACGTTTTAAACAAAAAAATAACAGTAACTGTAACTTCTAGGTGTAATCTTCAGGGAATCTTTTATTTTAGTTCCATAGGTATAAATAAGGTCTATGGAATTTTTAAAAAAGAATTATTAATTTTCTTTATTCATTTATTTATTTTAATTTGACAAGAGAGAGACACAAGGGGCAGGGCAAGTAGTGAGACAGCAAGCCTCTAGGTCCAGGACTTGAACCGTGGTTGGTCATGTAGGAGTGTCTAGCGCCTTAATCATCATGCCACCTACTGTGGCATGATGACCTGTCCCTAGGCCTGTGGAATTTTTTTTTTTTCTTTTTGGGAGAGGTTTTTGTTACAGGGTGGTTGTGTGCACTCACCAGAGAGACAGAGACTGAGACAGAAAGCAAGAAATCACACCCCAGGGGAGATGGCCATGCCACAATCCCTTCTCTTCCATTCTCCTCTCGGGATTTTGGGCATGCATGCACACGCGCCCTGCGTGAGTTTAAGCCACCAGGTCCGGGACTCAAACCATGAACCATGGTTGACTTCATGGGAGTCCAGTGACAGCCATTATGCCAACTGCTAGTCCCAAGTCTATGGAATTTTTAACAGCTACCCATATTTTTTTTAAAGAATTATTGATTGATTGATTATTTTTTCACATGAGTTTTGCCATAGAAAGAGAGAGAGAGAGGGAGAGAGTGAGAAAGCAAATCTCCAGGTCTAGGACTTGAACCTCAGTCAGCCATGTGAGCATTCCAGCACATTAACCACCACACCACCTGCTGGCCTCAAGCTATCCGTATTTTTAAACAGTCTAATCCATCTGTTAGGTGCATGGATTGCCATCATTATTGCTAAAATAAAACTTACATAGTGCTGTATAGCTCACAAAATTATTGTGATATAGGTACCAGCAGATGGCGTAATGGTTATGTCGTTGGACTCCCATGTAGTGACCGTGGTTCGAGTTCTGGACCCGGTGACTTAAAAATTCATGCTGAGTGCACATGCATGCGTGCCCAAGATCCCGAGAGGAAAACAGAAGGGATTGCAGTGTGACCATCTCCCCAGGGGGTGATTCAGTTTCTGTCTCTGTGTGTGTCTCTCTCTGGCGAGCACACGCGCCCTATAATAAAACTCTCGCTTAAAAAAAATCATTTTGATTTAAACACCTGATAATACTTGAAACACTTTGTGAAATAGTTGTTACTGTTGTACAGCTGAAAAAACCAAGGCCCACATCATTTGCTAAAATGATATAGCTAGCCTCATAAGTGTTAGAACTAAAAATTCAAACCTTGGTTTTCTGATTTCAGATTTGTCGAGTTCTTTCCACTCTATCAAATGGCTTCTGTTGCAGTTGTTAGTATATTTCATTCTTGTTCAGTTCTGGGCCTTCATACCACTGTTAATTTTGTTAATCTTTTCACCTTAGAGAAAACACCTTTTAGCTCTAGCACCGTTTAAAAGAAAATTATTTTGTGGGGCCAGCAGGTAGTGTGGTAGTTAAGCCTCTGGACTCTCATATGGTAGACCACGGTTCAAGTCCTGGACCTGTTAGCTTGCTTTCTCACTTTCCCCTCTTTTTCCCTGTTTCTCTGGTCAGATTAAAAAAATAATAATAAATAAAACTTAATAGATACTTCTTTTAAAAAATTATGTTGTAAAATTTATTTTGCATTGTATAAATAAAATATTACTTTTTATTTCTTTCTGATATTTTTCTCTTTTTGACTTTATGCCTTTTTTTGGAGAATTATTCTTGCATAACAATAGTTCTTTGTTTTAAAGTGAGAAAGATCAATCTAAAGAAAAGGAGAAGAAAGTGAAAAAAACAATACCTTCCTGGGCTACTCTTTCTGCCAGCCAGCTAGCCAGGGCCCAGAAACAAACACCAATGGCTTCTTCCCCACGTCCCAAGATGGATGCCATCCTAACTGAGGCCATTAAGGCAAGTTTCTATTTCTAGCAGTTTATTTTGGATTTATTGTGTTCGTCTTTATTTGTTCAAAAATGGTGTATTTCTGTCTAGATATCAGAAATTTTGCTCTACTTTTTAAAGGAGAATTAAATAGAAGATCAAGTAGAAGAAAGAACATATTTTTTAAAGATAATCATATTTGATGAGCACTGTTGATTTTTTTTTTAATCACATTTACTATAAGCAGATATTTGTAACTTATCTTTAGAATTTATTTACTCAGGAGACCAGTGATGGTGTAATGGTTACTTTGCTGGACTCCTACATGGCCAACTACAGTTCAGGTCCCAGACCTGGTGGCTTGAAACTCATGCCAGGGCCATGTGTGTGCATGTCCAAGATCTCAGGAGAAGAGATTGCAGCATAGTCATCACCCCATGGGGTGATTTCTTGCTTTCTGTCTCCCTAGTGAGCTCACATATCCTATAGCAAAAATATCTCTTTAAAAAAAGGGGGGAGGGGGTGGCTGGCAGGTAGCATGGTGGTTGAGGTGCTAGACTTCAAATGGCTAACCATGGTTCAGGTCTTGGACCTGGCTGTTTGCTTTCTTACTTTCCCTTTCTCTTTGGTCAAATTAAAAATAATAATAATAACAAAATTATCAAGTAAAATAATTCTTTAAAATCATTTACTCAATTTTATTGATTAGGTACAGTTTTTATTTGAAGGCTGAAGCTATTAATTCAACAAACATTGAAGGACCACTTTCTCTGTCAAGTGACTCCATTAAGTGATATAAACCAATGGAAACAGAGTTTTTTCCTTTATAAAATGTAATTTTGACTTGGTAACTGAATAACATTGAAAATTTTTATGAAAGAAAATATCTTCTGTGCTGACTCTGTGACCTGGTGGTTAAGACAGCTGTATCCCACAAGTATAACTATTTGATTCAAATCCTGGCCCTGGAGGCTTGAAGAAAACAGCAGACACATATGTATGCATACTCAAAATCCCAACAGAGAAATGGAGGAGAAAAAATATGTGTGACCAAACCCCACTGGGGGGTGAGCTTTTTCTCTTTCTTTTTCTTGCTCTCTGGCAAGCACTTGTATCCTCTGGAAAATTAAAAAGAAAGAAAGGGTTCATGATGGAGGTTAAGGTGCTGGATCTTGCATGGCTGGCTGCATGGTCCAGGTCCTGGACCTGGCAGCTTGAAAATCATGCCAGGTGCATGTACATGCATGCCCCAAATCCCACCCCAAATCCCCTGCCCTGGGGGATGAGTTCTCACTTTTTCTTTTTTTTCTCTCCCTCTGTCCTCTTTTTCTCTCTTTGATGAGTACCAAAAAAGGTTTTTGTCCTATAGCAAAAAGCTAAAAAAAGAAAAACAGCAAAGTTTGAGAAGCTAGCACTGACACATGAACTGGTAAAGGGTTTGCTTTCAGAGTTCTCCTTTCACTCCTTCAAAATTTCTTAGGCCTTTACTTCATTAAGAAAATTTTGTCTAGATAGCTTGATTACTGTGAGATCTCTATTCTTTGTGTAACTTTTCTTCAGAGATTTTACTGTATGACTACTCAGCCTGAGTCTGAAGGAGCAGTTACAGTGAGGAAATAGAATTTTAAAACATTTTTTTAAGTTTTTTTTTTTTTCCTGAGTGAAAGATAACACCCCCTACAGGGTCTTGACAGTATCCCTAGCCTCCATCTAGCTAGCCTTGGATAATAGATAAGGGTGTGTCCAGCGTATTCAGGGAGGTTTTCATATTTGAAGTAGGAACTTTCCCATGTGGGACTGCCTTGTAAATATCTGCTACATTATACTGCCACGCCACCAACAGGCCCTAGGACTAGAACTTTGGAATAGTGGAACAAAAATCAGCCTAACGTGATTTGAAAGTGTTTGTACATAATTGTACAGATGATTTATATATCACATGTATTCCTTACAGTATAACAAATCTTGATTTCGGACCACTAAGACCATTTTCCATTCCAAACAGGAATCCTGATATCTACTTCTTTCTCATTATCAGTTTGGTGCAACAATTGGCGCAGGAATTGTTTTCTGCTTCATTTTCTTTGTGTTTTGTTTTTGTCTCTTTTTTTGAGAGAGAGATTTTTGCTATTAGAGTGTTTGCCAGATAGACAGAAAAAGTGAGAAACAACCCCCCGGGGTAGGGAGGAGTTGACCACATCACAGTCTCTTCTCCTCCATTCTCTCAGGATTTAGGGCACGTGCACGCACACACACAGGCCAAGCATGAGTTTCAAGTCTGGAACTTGAACTACAGTCAGCCATGTGGGAGCCCAGCACCCAAAAGCACTACCTCACCTGCTGGCCCGATTTTCTTTGTGTTTTTAAAGTAAGATCAGGAGGGACCAGCAGATGGTGTGGCAGTTATGTAGCTGGACTTCATGGCTGACTGTCATTCAAGTCTCGGACCTGGTGGTTTGAAACTCATGCCGGGCATGTGCGCATGCTTGCCCAGGATCCCAGGAGGAGAACAAAGTTCTTGTGGCATGGCCATCCACCCTAGGGAGTGATTTGTCACTTACTTTCTCTGTCTCTCTCTGGCAAGTATAAGCACTCTATCGCAAAAAGCTTTCTTAAAATCAGGAGTAAACTGCAATAGGTTATTAATATTTCATAGACATACTAGAATTAGGTGACCCATATTAACGTAGCTTCTTTTGTGCTGCACAATCTTTTCTGACCTATTTACCTGTGAGTTATTTCTCTTTGTTGTCAAAATACATAAAATGAGGCCAGCCCCCATGGCATCCTGGTTAGGGGAGCTAGGTCCCACATGGTTGACCACGGTTTGAGTTTCAGCCTCAGTGACCTGAGAAACATGCTGCCTACTTGCACATTCAGGCCCTAAATCCTGACAAGAGGAAGGATGAAGGAGGGGGAAATTGCAGCATGACTGTGTCCCATAATGGAGTGCTTTCTCTCTGGTGAGGGCATGCACCCTCTGGCAAAAAGAAAAAAAGAATTTCTTCTAAAACATACATACTTAAAATAACATTCAACCAAGTCCTTATTCAGTGGCCTGAATAATTGCTGTGTTTGTTTTATAGACAGTGGCAACACAAATTGATGGACTAGCTCATCAGATAAAGAGGAGCTGCTGCTTCTCTGTGATAAAAACATTTGAAGCATTTGAGAAAAATGAAACATTTGCTGCTTTTATGACATAAAGAGCTACTTAATTCTACCATGCACATTGGTCATATGGAATAATAGAACAGAAATAGAATGTCTCCATCCTTACCCAAACTGCCCTTAACACTTTGCCACTTGTAAACTAGTTTTATGAAATTTGTTCAGATTTGCTTTGCTGCTTCTCTTTGCTGACATTTATAGAAAACTTGCAGGAAAATACTGGTCCCAGTATGCCAAGCTTATTCCTTAAAATGGGCTAGATTTGTGATCCTATAACTGGTAGAAATATTTTGCTTTCCTCACTTGATATTAAAGCTCTATCTTGGGGCCAACAGGTGGCCTGGTGGTTAAAGGCACTGGGCACCCACATGGCCTGCTGCAGTTTGAATCTTGGACCTGGCAGCTTTCTTTCTCACTTTCCCTCCCTCTGTCCCTCTCTGATCAAATTAAAGTAATAAATAAATAAGGTTAAATAAAAGATAATTTAAAAAATAATAAAGCTGTATCTTATAGGTCAGTCACTGTGGCTTATGTGGAAAGCTGCCACTACATGATAGCTGAAGGCATGTGGAAGGCCTGTTTCCCAGCCCATCCTGAAACAGGCCGTGTGTGGTGGCATGTTCCTGTGGTCCTCGCTAGCTGGGAGTCTGGGACAGGAAGGATCAGAACATGGCAGGATCCTGTCAAAAATAGTTATCTTTGGGTCAGCGAGTGGTGTTGGTTAAGGTGCTAAACTCCTACATGCCAACAGCAGTTTGAGTCCCGGACCTGGCAACTTGCTTTCTTGCTTTCTCTCTCTCGTGAGTGTATGCCCTGTAGAAAGTTTTTAAAATAATAATGATAAATAAAATACACCTAGTAAATTACACCTTACACCTAATAAAATACACCTTACACCTAGATCTCGCCCCCCCCCCAATTGTTATGAGCCATGTGCATGTGCATTTACCTGGAGAGAGAGAGAGAGATAGAGTGAGAAAGAGAAATTAGCACCTGGGGGGATAGTCCCTTCTCTATTTTCCCCTCAGGATTTTGGACATGCATGTACACCTGACGTGTTTTCTTTTCTTTCTTTCTTTCTTTTGAGACAGATTTTTTATAGTAGGGCGTATGCGCTCGCCAGAGGGACAGAGACACAGAAAGGGCGAAATCACCCCCCAACCTGGGGGGGATGGCCATGCTGCAATTTTTTCTCCATTCTCTCAGGATTTTGGACACACACACACGAGTTTTAAGCCTCTGGGTCTGGGACTCGAACCGTGGTCAACTCTGTGGGAGTCCATTGATATAACCTACGCCATCTGCTGGTCCCTCACCTGGTGTGTTTTCTAAGCTGCCAGGCCTAGGACTTGAATTGCACAGTTAACTATGTATGATCCAGCTGCCTTACCTACTGTGCCACCAGCTGGCCCCACAGCTGGTTTATTTTTTATTATTATTATTATTTTTTTTTAAGGTTTACTCATTTGTTTTATTGACAAGTCAGAGAGACAAGCACCACCTCCTAAAAGGGTCTTCACGCTGTGGTCCCCTTTCCTAGCCTTGGCCAGCCAGGATTACGCACATATGTGTACTCAGGTGTATTTAGGGAGGTCTCTAGACACGAACAGAGTCTTATCATGTGATTCAGCCTTGCAGAGTGTGACATTACCACAGTGCTGCTGTCTCTCTCTCTCTCTCTCATGTAAAAATGAAGACTAATCGGGAACTAGCAGTTAGCGTAATGGCTATGTCGCTGGACTCCCACATAGTCAACTGTGGTTCGCATCCCGGACCCGGTGGCTTAAACTCAAGCTGGGTGCGTGTGCGTGCGTGCCCAAGATCCCGAGAGGAGAATGGAGGAGAAGGGATTGCGGTGTGACCATCCCCCCCGGGGGGTGATTTCTTGCTTTCTGTCTCTCTGTCTCTCTCTGTCTGTCTGGCGAGCGCACGCGCCCTATAGTGAAAACCTCTCCAAAAAAAATGAAGACTAATCTTCTAAATATTGAATAGAATTAAAATGTAAAGGTCTCTTTGTTTTTTCAGTAATTACTTAATTTTATTCATCATCATCATTATTTTTTTAATTTGACCAGAAAGAGAGAGAGTAAGAAAGCAAGCCACCAGGTTTGAGACTTGAACCGTGGTAAGCCATGTGGGAGTCCAGTGTCTTAGCCCCTAAAAGAGATTATTATTGACACACAGAAAGCTGTTTATGTGTATGTATTACATGGTCTCTTTGGCCATTTCAAACAATTTAAAATTGAGGCAGAAATATCTAGTAATTGCCTCCATTCTCCAGTCATCGTTCATTCTTCCCTGATGTTTTTATCATTCATTATCAAGTTCACTTCTGAAATAATTCATTTTTAATACATGTTTAAGTATCTGTACCTAATATAAAATAAAACTAGTTTCAAATAATGGGTTGATAAATCTCTTTTCTAGGCATGCTTCCAGAAGAGTGGTGCATCGGTTGTTGCTATTCGAAAATATATCATCCATAAGTATCCTTCTCTGGAGCTAGAGAGAAGGGGTTATCTCCTTAAACAAGCACTGAAAAGAGAATTAAATAGAGGGGTCATCAAACAGGTATCGAAAAGTTGTTGGTAATAAGATTTCATTATGTTTTTGGTATTAAGTCCATATTTAGTAACATTTAGGGTTTTTGTGTCTTTTTGTTAAAAATAAACTACATGATGATAAAATGTTTAAGCTTACCCTAGTTTTATGATTATCTGAGGCTACATTTTGAAAGTTTGAAAAACATGGGGCCAGCAGGTGGTGTGGCGGTTGAGGCACTGGACTCCCACATGTCTGACTGTTGTCTTTCTCTCTGTCTCTGATAAGTGCATGCGCTATGGAGCAAATTAAAAAAATAATAATGACAAATTAAAATTAAAAAAATAAAGAAAAAGAAAAACATTCATACCTATTGCCTTTGTATTCTAGAGGGCAGAAGCAACAAGATAATACAGTTTTTTTCTAGCTGCTTATACTTTAATTGAATTTTCTTTGGAGACTGCTTATGATTGAAATCATGTAACAATGAAAATGAGAGGTAGGGCTAAGGAACCCTGCTGTTGCATCAGCAAAAGGATGATTGCTCTTTTTTTTTTTTTGAGAGGTTTTTGCTATAGGGCGCGTGCGCTTGCCAGACAGAGAGAGACATAGAGACAGAAAGCGAGAAATCACCCCCCAGGGGGGATAGTCACGCCACAGTCCCTTCTCCTCCATTCTCCTCTCGGAATCTCGGGTGCACACACACGCGCCCAGCGTGGGTTTTAAGCCACTGGGTCCGGTACGTGAACCGCGGTCGACTACGTGGGAGTCCAGCGACATAGCCTCTTTGGAGACTGCTTATGATTGAAATCATGTAACAATGAAAATGAGAGGTAGGGCTAAGGAACCCTGCTGTTGCATCAGCAAAAGGATGATTGCTCTTTTTTTTTTTTTGAGAGGTTTTTGCTATAGGGCGCGTGCGCTTGCCAGACAGAGAGAGACATAGAGACAGAAAGCGAGAAATCACCCCCCAGGGGGGATAGTCACGCCACAGTCCCTTCTCCTCCATTCTCCTCTCGGAATCTCGGGTGCACACACACGCGCCCAGCGTGGGTTTTAAGCCACTGGGTCCGGTACGTGAACCGCGGTCGACTACGTGGGAGTCCAGCGACATAGCCATTATGCTAACTGCTGGTTCCCAAGGATGATTGCTCTTGTCTTAGGTTTGTTAGCTTTAGAGCCTAACTTGCATGACTATACTCTTACCATTTTAAACTAACTTGGTAAGTAAGTTCACATTAACTGATAAGTATCTTAACTATTAAAGTCCGGTAGAAGCATCAGAAAAGCCTAAGTGTAAATTGAGACTAATACTAGAACCAATATTGATTTTGAGTGTTAATCCATATTGTCTTACGTAGTGCACCAAAGCAGTGCTTAGATTCATAGAAAGCTGAAGCTCAAGAGAACTTTATCTTATCTGATTTACTTCAGGGTTATGAAATAGCGACTAAGGTCCCACGGTAGTGACAAAGATGGTTGGAATTCACTGCATTTCCAGAGTTCTGTTCATTTTTTCCCTATACTCTTCTTCATAGCTTGATTAGTATAGATTTCTGTGCCATACAGATATTTAAACTCTACTTAAGAACTTTGAACAATACTTAATCACACAAATAATATGTCCAGTATTTGCCATGTGCCAAATACTTGGGGATCATAAGAGTAATATGGAGTCCCACTGTGTAGAGCTTACAGACTAGCTTTCTCAAAATGTCGTAAAATTGATATTAACCATCCCTATGTTTGGTGGTTAAGGGAGCTAGATACCACATGGCTGACCGTGGTTCAGATCTGACCCCAGCAGTTTGAAAGACACACCAGGTGCATGTGTGTGTATGCATGCATGCCTCAAACCCTGACATGATGGAGAAATGGAAAAGAAGGAATTCCAGAGTGGGGATGCTTTCTCTCTCTCTCTGTTTCAATGAGTGTGTGTGCCCTCTGGCAATAAAAAATAACAAAACACCCTTAAAGTGATAATTAATTCAAAGTCTTGGCCAATATAATTATTAGAACCATGGGACCAGCAGTCAGCGTAATGGCTATGTCACTGAACTCCCATGTAGTCGACCACGGTTCTAGTCCCAGACCCGGTGGCTTAAACTCACGCCGGGCGCGTGTGCGTACGTGCCCAAGATCTCAAAAGGAGAATGGAGGAGAAGGTATTGTGGCATGGCCATCCCCCATCTGGGGTGATCTCTGACTTTCTATCTCTCTTTCTCTCTTTCTGGCGAGCACAATGCACCCTATAGCAAAAACCTCTCAAAAAAAAAAGACCCAAAAACCGATTCTGTATCATACTACTTGTCAGTACAGCTTATGGACTGACTCTGTGTTTTTCTTTATGAAAATTCAGTTTGTGGCTTATTTTTCTCTGCATAGGCTGACCCTTAGTTTTATGATTTAGAAACAGTTAATAGGCTAGCAGTATTTTAGCTTGATTGTTGCACTGGTAGCAGTGTAAGTAAAGCTAAAGCCTGAAGGGCTTTGATTGTTTTAGATCAACTTTATAGTTCTGTGAAAATGCTTTGTAAAATGTGAAAAGAAGTGGTAAGATTTTTATATACCACTATACATAATGACAAAAAATTTTTAGGAAGGCTTTCCTGTAAGGAGTAATACTCTATAGAGATTGGTAAAACTATGGGACACGTTATGGCCTAAGACCATATGGCCTAAGGCTCTAAACTTTTGCCAAGGACCTGTCTTTCTTCTAAGACATTGATGGGTTTTCTCACTTTTCCTAAGAGATTAACTTCCGTGGGACATTTTTGGTTTTTGTTGTTGTTGTTAGTTTGGTTTTGTTTCTTTGAAAGGCTATAGTAGATTATTTAACCTGGTAGGGACAGCAGGTGGTATAGTAGTTAAGGTACTGGAATCCCACATAGCCAAACATAGTTCAGTTCCTGGACATGGCAGCTTGCTTTCTCAGCTTTTCTCATTCTCTCTCTCTGGTAAGACTAAAATAAATAAATAAGCTAAATTACCCTTTTAAAAGGCTTGATGGGACCAACAGTTGACATAATGGCTATATCACTGAACTACCGTATTGTCGGCCACGGTTCGATTCCCAGACCTGGTGGCTTAAACTCATACTGGGTACGTGCGCATGCATGCCTAAGAACCCAAGAGGAGTATGGAGGAGAAGGGATTGCAGTGTGGCCATCCCCCCTGGGGGGAGGGGGTGATTTCTCACTTTCTGTTTCTCTGTCTTTCTGGCAAGTGCACACGCCTTATAGCAAAAAAAAAAACAAAAACAAACAAAAAACAAAAAAAGACCTGGAGTCAGCAGGTGGTGTGGTGGTTGAGGGTGCTGAATTCCTATATGGCTGACCACAGTTCAAGTCCTGGACTTGGCTTGGCTTCTCTCCCTCCCCCCCCCCCCTCCCCCTCCCTCCCTCCCTCCCTCCCCTTCTCTCTCTCTCTTTCTCTCTCTCACACACACATACACACGCACACACACACTGTCCCTCTGTGGTCAAACTGAAATAAAGTTTATTAAAATTATTTTTAAAAAAAAAAGGACTTTACCTGATAGCAGTAGCATTTGTCCCTACTTTTGTACCTGAGGAAACAAAAACTGAGATATTGAGTTGTCCAATATTGAATAGCTATCAGTAGATGGTACTGTAAATAGAATTCCATCCCAAGTCTTTGATTTCTCATCCATTGTTCTGTATTCTCTGAAGAGTTAAACAGCCACTTTATAAGCTCTTGCATCAACATACCCTGTAATTCTCCTAGTCTTGTATAAAGTTACAAATAGGAATACTAGAATAATTAAAAATAAAAATTAATTTGCTTTAGGTAAAAGGAAAAGGTGCATCTGGAAGTTTTATTGTGGTCCAGAAATCAAGAAAAACACCTCAGAAATCTAGAAACAGAAAGGTAAGAAGTCTGTCTATACCACAGTTTGAACACTCTAATACTATTACTGCTACTAAAAAGAACACCATTTATTGGGTGTTTACTATGTGCCTGGCGTTATCCAGCCCTCTTGCTATGGCCCAGGGAGGCTAAAAATAATTTGCCCAGCTGGCTAGTAGGCTAGCCAGGGCACAAATGCAAGTGCTCCAACCTAGTTAAGACCATATACTTTATCTTAGATAAACACTTCTAAGCCCAGTATTGAATCATGGACAACTGTATGAATCATATTGCTTTTTGTGAAGTGTCTTTTAAGCTAAGGAGGTGTACATTTTTACCCAGTAGTAGACCCAAAAGCTATACCCAGAGGCAGTTCTTCTTTTATGAGCATGGTGGTATTGCTCTCCCTAAGATGTGTAATTTCATATATGTAAAGCATTTCTATGGCAATAAAGTGAAATATCTAGTATTTCATTTATGGCAGCAATTGAAATAATGAATATCCCTCTATACTTTTGTTGTTACAATTCTGAAGATTTTCCTAGAACTTTTTTTTTTTATACAACTTTTAGACACTTTTAAAACGAACTTTTATACAGTGCTTTCTGGTGTTGCATTTCATTCTTTGTTATTGAAGGTTACAAATTAATTAGGCCTTTAAAAAAGGTTATCATTCCTTTTTACTTTTATATGCATTTTAAATACCTTTTGTCTCAAAACTTTGCCATGAAAATGACATAATGCCACTGTGTAATTTATTTGAATGTGGGAAAAAGTGATAGTTTCCTATTTGCCAGTTGACTTAGCAGTCAAGCAAAGAAAACCCTTGAGTTATACTTTCTATTCTGTAATGATAATTTTTTATATTATTTCAGAAGAGGAGCTCTGCAGTGGATCCAGAACCACAAGTAAAATTGGAGGATGTCCTCCCACTGGCCTTTACTCGCCTTTGTGAACCTAAAGAAGCTTCCTATAGTCTCATCAGAAAATACGTGTCTCAGTATTATCCTAAGCTTAGAGTGGATATCAGGTACGAACCATTGACGTGGGCCACAGTTTTTTTCTGAAACCCAAACCACACATTCCGTTATTGAACCAGATAACTCTTTTCATGTCGTCAGCTGTTGGAATTTATAATATTGGCCAGCTGTGATGGTGTATTTGTAACACAGTGCTCTACAATGCTGAAGCTATAAAAGGAGGTCCTAGGTTTACATCCCAGGGTCTCCCTGTACACACAAGGGTCATGATCCTAAGTAACTGAAATTGGGAGTGGATCACAGCATGAAGACCCTGTTAAGAGTGCCTGTCTCATTCTCTCTGTTTTTCTGTCTCTTTCTCTCACCTCTCTCTCATGGAAGAAATAAACAAACATTAATTAAATATTTAATAGTAAATTCTGTCCTCTCTCATTTGTTTATGTAGACCTGCAAGCCTCTAGGTCTGGGACTTGAACCATGGTTGGCCATGTGGGTGTCCAGCACCCTTAACCACTACACCACCTGCCAGACACCTTTATTTATTTTTTTTAAGAGATTTTTGCCTTAGAACATGTGCATTTGCAGGAGAGAGACAGAGACAATGAGAGGGAAAGTGATTAATTACCCCCCCCCACCCCGGGTAATTTCCACAGTCCCTTCTCTGTTCTTCTAGGATCTTGAGCACGTATGCACTTGTGCCCAGTGTGAGATTCAACCCACCAGGTCTGGGACATGAATCACGGCCATGTGGGAATCCAGTGACATAACCACTACACTATCTGTTGGCCCCATAAACAGAAAATTTTAAATTAAGGTCTTGGTATTTTCATACTACTTACAGCCTGAGTTGAGTATAATTGTAGTAAGCAGACACAATTGTAGATCAGAAGTGCAAAATGTGGAGGCCAGCAGGTGGTGTAGTGATTAAGGCACTGGACTAACGGCTGTCTGAGTTCTGTTCCTGGTGACTTGCTTTCACACTCACTGTCTCTAATCAGCCCATGTACCCTATAGCAAATTTATTTTTTCTTATAAATAATTATATTACTCTATCTATTCTAATTTTGACCAGAGAAGGAGGGAGGAAGAGCGAGAGAGAGAGAGAGAAAGTGAGAAATCAAGCTGCCAAGTCCGGAACTTAAACCATGGTCGGCCATGTTGGAGTCTAGCACCCTTAACCACTACACCACCTGCTGGTCCCTCAGAATGTTCACGTTTTTTGTTTGTTTGTTTGTTTGTTTTTGTTTTTTTTTTTTGAGAGGGAGAGATTTTTATTTATTTTTTGCTGTAGGGCATGTGCACTCGCCAGAGAGACAGAAAGTGAGACATATCCCCTGGGGAGGATGGTCACACCACAATCCCTTCTCTGTTCTCCTCTCAGGGTTTTGGGCATGCACACACACTCGCCTGGCATGAGTTTTTTTTTAAACCACCAGCTCCAGGACTCAAACTAGGGTTGGCTACATGGAATTCCATTGTGTAACCTTGTGCCATCTGCTGGTCCCACAAATTTTAATAATAATAATAAATGAAGTAATAATTTAAAACAAATGCATATGTGTGATGTATTTAAAGATGGAAACGTATTTTGCTTTTATCTCCGTGACTTTTTTGGTGACTAGAGACCAAACCATCCCCCAGCTTTTGTTCCTCTCATTACGTTTCTACTCACACAAGACTGTGTAGCTACCAGTGTATCCTTGCTCTCTGTTTAGTCCTTTGAAATGTTTTCTGCCTTCATCTCCTTTTTCATTGATTCTGTTAGAGTGTATACACTGGCTACTCTGAACTGTTTTAATTGCCAGGGGGCATGTGCACTTACCAGAGAAAGAGAGAAAGTGAGGCCAGCCAGCGGTGTGATGGTTAAGGCAGCTGGATCCCACATGGCCAACTGTGCAATTTAATCCCAGACCTAGCAGCTTGAAAACACACCAGGCACGTGATGGTGTAATGGCTGCATTGCTACATTCCCACATAGTTGACAGCGGTTCATGTCTGTGGTGGCTTAAAACTAAGACCAGATATGTATGCATGTATGCCCAGAATCCTGAAAGGAGAATGGTGAAGGAGGGGTTGCAGCATGGCCAACCTCCTTCCCTGGGGATAACTTCTTACTTTCTGTCTCTCTGGTGAGCATACATTCCCTATAGCAAAAATCTTGTTTTTTTTCTTTTTGGAGAGGGTTTTTGCTATAGGGCGCATGCGCTCGCCAGACAGAGAGAGACAGAGAGACAGAAAGCGAGAAATCACCCCCCAGAGGGGATGGTCACGCTGCAATCCCTTCTCCTCCATTCTCCTCTCGGGATCTTGGGCACACACGCACACGTGCCCGGCGTTGAGTTTTAATCCACTGGGTCCGGGACGTGAACTGCGGTCGACTACGTGGGAGTCCAGCGACATAGCCATTACGCTAACTGCTGGTTCCCTTAGCAAAAATCTTTAAGAAAAAAAAAAAGAAGAAGAAGACTCCAGGCATGTATGTGTACATACCCAAAATCCTAAGAGAAGAATGAAAGGAAAAGGATTATAGGGTGGCCCTCTGTCTGTCTCTGGTAAGCACATTTACCCTATCAAGAAAAAAAAAAAATTGAGGGAGAATATACTCTTTGAATGAGACACAGACATACCACAATGCTTTGTCTTCTGTTTCTCTATCCTGTGAGGATTTTGGGCATACCTGAACATGAACCTGGCATGTTTACGAATAACGATGGCTGGGATTCAAGTCACTATTGGTTGTGTAAGATCTAGCTTCTTTAACCACTAAGCTATGGGGCCTGCCTTTGTTTTCTCTTAAATTTGAATTCCCACATGGCTGACCACGACCGAAATCCTGGACCTGGCAGCCTGCATATCACACTGGGCGTGTGTGTGTGTGCGCGTGCATGTGTGTGTGCACGTGCGCGCCCAAAATTCTAAGAGAATAGAGGAGATACAATTGTGGTATGGCCATCCCCCCGGAAGATTGATTTCTTATTTTCCCTCTCTGTCTCCAGGGAGGGCATGCATCCTATGGCAAAAACATTTTTTAAAAAAATTGCTTGATAAGTCATTTTGCCGCTGTTGTGGCCCAGTACTAATAAATGATGGGTTTTTGGAGTTTCCTGGCAATTTGGTTTTGGAGATAAATGATGGGTTTTTGGAGTTTCCTGGCATTTTTGTTTCCTAGAAGTTTTTGGGCCAGCAGGTTGGGCATAGCAGTTGTGGCGCAATAGTTGTGGCGCTGAACTCCCGCATGGCAACTACAGTTCAAGTCCCAGACCTGGCAACTTGAAACTCACACCAGGCACTTTGTACATGTGTGTTCAAAATTCTGAGAGAGGAGAAGGGATTGCAGTGTGACCATCCCTCTGGGGGGGTATTTCTCACTTTCTCTCTCTCTCCAGCAAGCACACGCCCTATAGCAAAAACCTCTCTGGAAAAAAGAAAGAAGGAAAGAAATTGATTCTGTATGACACATGGTTGTTTGTACAAGGTAATGACTTCGAATCTTGAAAAAAAGAATCCTTCTTATAAAGGATGCCAGCAATTTATTGCTATTTTTGTCCATCTTAAGTTTTTAAATAATTATATGAGATAGGGAGAGAACGACATTCCCAAAAGGATTTTCATGCCATGACCCCACCCGCCAGCCCCAGGCCAGCCAGGATCACAGGCATACACACACCCAACATGTATAGGAAAACCTCAAGATGAGAACCTGGCATCTTTCCCTGTGGCCTAAGGATTGCTGAGCATTGCATTACCACTGCACCACTGTGGCTGGCCTTTTTGTCCACTTTAACAAGATACTATGTGTAACAGGCATCAGAACCTTACATCTGGGAATAACCTTAGAGCTATATCTTTCACTGATATATTTATTGCTATTTTTTGTTTTTATCTGCAGGCCTCAGCTGTTGAAGAATGCTCTGCAGAGAGCAGTAGAGAGAGGCCAGTTAGAACAAATAACTGGCAAAGGTGCTTCTGGGACATTCCAGGTTAGAGGCTTGGTTATAGAAAAATGCTTCTCAAAGTTTCTGGTTTCAGGACCTCCTTTTACTTCATAAATATATTCAGGATCTCAAAGAACTTTGTATGGTTATAGTTATCCATATCAGTGTATTATTATGCTCACCCATTTCTTACTATAATGAAAAATGACCTAGCCATGGTAGTACATGCTATTAAGGAACTGTGTTCCATAGGCTGGGACCATGTGGGAGGCATGGGCTCCATTCTGGTCCACTCATCAAGTCCAGACATGGTGACATGTGCCTGAATATCCCAGAGACTCAAGGAGGCTGAGACAGAAGGATTGTAAGTTCATGGCTTAGTTGGGCAACGTAGCAAGATCCTGTCTAACAAAAAGGAGAGCTAGATTTGGTGGCACACGCCTGTAGTCCCAGCTGGGAGGCTGCAGCAAGAAGATCACTGCATTGGCAAGACTCTCTTTTATTTTTTTTTTTTTTTTTTGGTAAGAGAGATTTTTGCTATAGGGTGGGTACACTCGCCAGAGACACAGAGAGACAGAAGATGAGAAATCATTCCCTCGTAGGCATGGTCACACCACAGTCCATTCTTCATTCTCCTCTCGGGATTTTGAGCGCACATGCCCATACACTTGATGTGAATTTTAATCCAGCTGGTCTGACTCGATCTGTGCTAGACTATGTGGAAGCCTAGCAATGTATCCACTGCATCATCTGTTGGTCCCAAAACTCTGTCTTTTTTTTTTTTGGAGAGATTTTTGCTATAGGGTTAGGGCGCGTGCGCTCGCCAGAAAGACAGAGACAGAGAGACAGAAAGTGAGAAATCACCCAGAGGGGATGGCCATGTCACAGCCCCTTCTCCTCCATTTTCCTCTTGGGCACACACACATGCACCTGGAGTGAGTTTAAGCCACTGGGTCCGGGACTCGAACCGCGGTCGATTACATGGGAGTCCAGCAACATAGCCATTACACTAACTGCTGCTCCCCAAGATCCTGTCTTTTAAAAAGAGGTTATTTTTTTTCCTTGTTATTTTTACTATATTAGAATTCAAAACAAGATTTAAAAATATTTGTTAATTCATTTGAAAATAAAAATAGTAGGGCTAGCTCTGTAGCCTGGTTAAGCCTGATTAAGGAAGCTGGATCCCTCATAGCTGATTACACAATTCAAATCTCAGACCCAACAGCTTGAAAAACATGTCAGGCATGTGTTCCCACAATCCTAACAGATTAGAAAAATGGAAGAGAAGGGATTGTGACATGACTATTGTACCCTATTGAGAGGGTGCTTTCTCCCTGTTTCCCCATCTCTCTTTGGTGAGTACATGCCCCCTCTGGTAAATAAAACAAACCAACCCATCATATATTAGCATAAGTGACATGTTTTTAAATGAAAAATAACCAAAAAAAATCTTTTTAATGAGAAGAGAGACATTGTTTACAGTTTTTAAAAATGCTTTTAATGTCTATCTTAATAGAAGATAGCTGGTATCTGTTCTAATATGTTTTGTATTACTTCTATGCAGAAATTCATCCTTACACCAAAATATGCTTAGAAGAGGGTGGAAATAAAGTTTATTTGTGTGTTTTCCTTCATGAGAGACAGACAGGCAGGTACCCTTTGATACTGTATCAAGACTCAACAAATGTTTATTTTTAACAGCTTTTTTAAGGTATGATTTTTTCATGCCATAAGATGGCCAGTGCCTTAACCACCATACCACCTACTGCCCCCCCCCCCCATTTTGCCCATTTTTTAAATTGGGTTGTTAGAAGACTATTTTATTTATTTATTTACTTTAGATTTTTACCATAGGATGCATGTGCTTGCCAGAGAGAGACTGAGAAAGACTGAGAATCGCCCTCTAGGGAAGATGGCCACATTACAATTCCTTCTCCTCCATTCTTCTCTCAGGATTTTGGGTGTGCATACACATACTTGGCTTTTTTTTTTTTTTTTTGGTTGGGAGAGTAGTTTTTGCTTTAGGATGCATGCACTTCGTGGAGAGACAGAGAGATGGAAAACGAGAAATCACTCCCCCAGGGGTGTGACCATGCAGCAGTCCCTTCTTCATTCTCTTCTTGGGATTTTGGGTATGCACACATACGTGCCCAGCATGACTTTCAAGCTGCAGGATCTGGGACTTGAACTAAGGTTCACCATGTGGGAGTTTAGCTTTTTAACCACTATGTTGCCTGTTGTTTCTGCACGTGGCATGGTTTTCAAGCTACCAGGTCGGGAACTCAGGTGGCAGAGTCAGCAACATGAGATTCAGCACCTTATCCACCATGCCATCTGGTGACCCTACTTTATTTTTAAGTTTTTGTCAATGGACGTGTGTACTCACCAAAGAGACGGCATCCCCCAAGTGGGACTTGGTTATGCCACAATCCCTTCTCTATTTCTCCGTCTTGTCAGGATTTTTGGCATGCATGTGCATGTGACTTACATGTTTTCAAGCTGCTTGGGTAGAGTTTGAACCCCAGTGGGCCATATGAGGTCCAGGTTTCTTCTCTTTCCTTTTTTTTTTTTTTTCCTGGAGAGGTTTTTGCTATAGGGCATGTGCGCTCGCCAGACAGAGAGAGACAGAGAGACAGAAAGTGAGAAATCACCCCCTAGGGGGGATGGCCACACCGCAATCCCTTCTCCGTTCTTCTCTTGGGATCCTGGGCATGCATGCATATGCGCCTGGCTTGAATTTTAAGCCACCGGGTCCAGGACACAAACTGCGGTCGACTACGTGGGAGTCCAGCGACATAGCCATTGCGCCTGGTCCTTCTCTTTCCTTTCTTAAGAGATTTTTCTGCCTTAGGGTGTGTACACTCACTGGAGGGAGAGAGAGACATACTTTGAGAAGGAAAGTGAGGAGTCACCTCTTGAGGGAATGGGCACTCCATACACAGTCCCTTTTCCTCCATTCTCCTCCTGGGATCTTGGGCACCCAGGCACATATGCCCAGCATCATTTTGAGCCCACCTGGTCCAGGACTTGAAATAGGGTCGGCCATGTGGGAGACCAGTGACATACTCTGCGCCATTTGCTGGTCCCAAGGTCCAGGTTTCTTAATCACTTAGGCTATAGAGTTGACCATGAGTTCTGTGTTTTAACATAAAAGTCTCTCTTGAGATATATATGACCTACAGACAATTTCTCCTATTCTGTGACTTTTTAAAAATATCTTTTGAAGCACGAGAGCATTTAACTTTGATGAAGTCCCATTTGTCATGTTTTATTTTTGTTTGTTTTCTGTAAGGTGCCTGTGCTTTCTGGAGACAGAGCGAGAGAGGGGAGGAAAATGAGAAAGAACCCACTGGTGGGGGAGAGGGACAGCCATACCACAGTTCCTTCTCCTCCATTCTCCTCTCAGGACTTTGGGCTTATACACACATACAGTCAGTGTGTTTTTCAAGCCACTGGGTCTAGGGCTCAAAATGTACAGTTGGCCATGTGGGATCCAGTCATCATAACCTCTATGCCATCTGCTGGGCCCCATTTACCTTGTTTTTAAAATCACTTGTGCTCTTGGCTTATTATCTAAGAAATCATTGCCCTAATTTAGATCATGAAAATTTACTCCTGTGATTTCAGAGTTTTTTAGTTTCTTTTTTTTTTCCCCAATTTATTTATTTGCATTCATTCACTGTACATCATTACAGCATACAAAATGAGATTTTCCATCTAGAGTACACTGTATATTGTCTCAATCAAGCACATCAACAAATATGTTATTCTTAGCAAATGATCTCCCATTTCTTGTTTTCTGTATGTTTTGCTTTTTCCCCCCCATCCTTGGTTCCCTATCTTTTACCCTCTGCCACCTCCTGTTCTCCTCCCATACTGTCTCTGTTATCTATGTTTGCTTTCTATACCATTTCCCCCCCACATTTTATTGAATCACCAAAGACTCTAGTCAATCCGAATACCCTCCTAGCAAACACATGTGACACACACATTTCCATGAGCACAAGTCTAACTTTACACATCCTATAAAGTAGCACCTAACTGGGGCTACATATCCTACTGCAGTCATTGAATAGATATATTTTTTTTTCCTGAAACTTTTTTTTGTAACTCAATTTACATTCCTTCCCTAAGTATCATCCCAGCACACAAAATGCTATCTCCCATCCAGTACACACTGCATAGTGACTCATGCACATTACAGAAAAAATAAATTTCCAATTCTAGTTCCTAGAATTATTTCCACCCCTCTGTCTGACCCTCTGTCCCTTCCCACCCTCCTCTCACACCACCTCCAGTGTCCAAAATTGTCCTCCATTCCCTTCCCACCCACATTGCATTGATCACACTATTTCCTACATAACCTAACTACTTTCAAAGGTGAGTTCACTCGTTACTACTAAGAAAACCAGTTTTAACTTAAATCAAAGAACCGCCAAGGAACTTTGCTTAAAGCCAGGAAACAGGTTAGAATTCTGTTCAAATGGTAGGTGCATGAACCTATCAGTCTCATATACTTTTATCTTCTGTTCTGGTTCAATTTTCCTGATTAAATTCTGGGATATAGTATTCAACTCCAGACTTGTCCCTATGATTAAGTTAGCTACTTTCTCAGTTTTTGGACTCTTATTTCCATGTATCTGCGTTTAGTTTTCCTGATACAGCACATCCTTGAGAACTTCTTGGAGGTCTGGTCTGGTGCTGGTAAATTCTTTCAGGTTTTGTTTATCTGAGAATGTTCTTGTCTTTTCTTCCCACCTGAAAGATAATCTTGCCGGATACAGTATTCTTGGCTGAAACTGCTTCTCTCTTAACACTTGGAATATATTTTCCCATTCTCTCCTCGCTTTTATTGTTTCTGATGAGAGATCTGCTGTTAGCCTGATGGGATGTCCTTTGTAGGTAACTTGATGTTTTTCTCTTGCTAATCTTAGTATCTTGTCTTTGTCTGCAGTTTTGGTCAACCTGGCTATAATGTGTCTTGGAGAAGATCTTCTAGGGTTGATTCTATTTGGGGTCCGTTGTATTTCCTGGGACTGGATCTT